TCTGTTGGTTTAGTGCTCTATGATGTACTGATTATGAGCTTTGTTAAGATACATTTGATGTATTGATACTTTCTATGTGGTATTATGAGAGAATTTTATTCATTACATGTTCTTGCATGCTAGATCTGTTATGAAAATCCATGTATCATTATGAATGATACTAAACTCCCTAGTCTTATGTCGTTATGGGAATAACGACATAATGAGACTAGTATGATGTGTGATTGATGATCAATGATGATGATCATCTGCATTGGATGCAAATCACAATCATGGGTTCTCGTTTGGAACGAGTGACTGGATGACCCGCATGAGATTGTCACATGGACTAGCGTCATGGAATCTCATATGGCGGTTCCATGATTGGATCCTAAGACCTGAGATATCTACGGAATCCAACATGAGGAGTTGCGTGCTTTAAATACGTCAAACGTCCTGCGTAGCAGGAGGATTATAAAGGCGTGTATCAGGCACGAAATGAATCATGTACTGGATTGTAGATAGTCAAGATGGGATTTGTACCTCTCATAAAAGAGAGAGATATCGCTGGGCCCCTCGTGTGAGCGAGACTGTAGAAATGTGTGGCCGCACTATAGACGAACGTCGTCTATTTTAGACAGTCAAACTCAGTGAACGAGAAAGCAGTCGAATCAGATAAGGTGGCTTGTCCATGCCTTATGTTCGACATATGATATCGCGATACCCAGCCCCTTCCGACTCGGTTTTCCGTCGTTTTCTCTCGTGCATTTGTCCTTCCCTGCGTGTGTGACCCTGTAGGCTCATTCGACATAGCAGTATAACCTGAAATCCCCATTTCTGGTATACAACTCATAGGCGGTCTCTAGCAAGACACTATGACTACCTATCTCGAATAGAGTTAGTTCGTGATCTTACGAACACCGGAGATGATTCCGGCTGATGATCCTTTTGTATCGCGATATCATATGTCGAACATAAGGCATGGACAAGCCACCTTATCTGATTCGACTGCTTTCTCGTTCACTGAGTTTGACTGTCTAAAATAGACGACGTTCGTCTATAGTGCGGCCACACATTTCTACAGTCTCGCTCACACGAGGGGCCCAGCGATATCTCTCTCTTTTACGAGAGGTACAAATCCCGTCTTGACTATCTACAATCCAGTACATGATTCATTTCGTGCCTGATACACGCCTTTATAATCCTCCTGCTACGCAGGACGTTTGACGTATTTAAAGCACGCAACTCCTCATGTTGGATTCCGTAGATATCTCAGGTCTTAGGATCCAATCATGGAACCGTCATATGAGATTCTAGTCATGACTCTAGTCCATGTGACAATCTCATGCGGGTCAATCCAGTATTCCGTTCTCCAACGAATACCTATGATTGTGATCGTATCCAATACCTATAATCATCTATGTGATCATCAATCACACATCATACTAGTCTCATTATGTCGTTATTCCCATAACGACATAAGACTAGGGAGTTTAGTATCATTCATAATGATACATGGATTTTCATAACAGATCTAGCATGCAAGAACATGTAATGAATAAAATTCTCTCATAATACCACATAGAAAGTATCAATACATCAAATGTATCTTAACAAAGCTCATAATCAGTACATCATAGAGCACTAAACCAACAATCTCCCACTTGCTCTAATCATGAACTGCTAAACATCTAATGCCCATATCCTTAACATGACCCTCATGCTTCGACGAAGGGAGAGGCTTCGTCAACGGATCGGCAATGTTGTCATCTGTCGACACTCTGCAAATGTGTACGTCACCTCTGTCTATAATCTCCCTGGAAATCCCAACAATGCCGTCTTAGTTGGACCCATTAAGTCACTATGGACCTTCTCCAGAGGGGCGGTGCATCATGAAGTTGATGAGTCAAATGGTAGTCTATGTGACTTCCCATATTGACAACCTTCACAAACTTCACCAACATCAAGGCTCTTTAACTTAGGGAGACCATACACCAAGTCTTTCTGCACCATTATCTTGAGCTCGTGTGCCAAAGAGATGCACTGTCATTACTGCTCATTTTATCAACATATGAGCTAGACACCGATAATATGTATAGATTTTTAACGCGTGCTCCGGTGTGAACCACATTCGCTTCTAGATTTTTTATATTCCTTAAAAATTTGACGTCTCTTGGGCCGAATAAGACATAGTTACCTGAATCAACCGCATTCACCACTGAGAGAAGATTTTTCTTTACTCCAGGCACATGGTATACGTCCTTAAGTGTGATTGGACCTCCTTCATTTCTGTTGATAACAACGGTCCCTCTCTTCTCAACATGGTGTATGGAGTTGTCTGCCGGGATGATTGCTTCATTTCCGTCATGGTGACAAGAGCTTAAAAATAACTTGTCATCTCCAGTGATATGATGACTGCAACCAGAGTCTACAATCCATTCAGAAGTGAGAGGATTTGATGTGGACGAACCTGTTAAGGCAGTATCAACCATGAAACACCTCTCCCATGCTTCATCTTCAGTAATGTCTTGTGATTTTGCCATGTTGGTTTGTTGTAGTTTCACACGATAATTTTTCTTGATATGCCCAAGCTTTCCACACCGATAGCACTTGACACGATTTTTGTATTTTTCCGTAGCACCTCCTTGGACTATGGTCTTTTCCTTCGCTCCCTCTTGGACGACGATATTTTTCTTAGCTCCGCTTTTGAAAGGCCTTTGCTTTCTTGCCATAAAGGCACTCTCGGAGTCATTGCTAACTTTAACTCCGGCCATTTGCATGGCCAATGTTTCTTGTGAAGATAACAAATTTTCAAACTCCTCAATGGATGGTTGTTCGGACCACTCTTGAATCGACGTCACAAACGGTATATATTCGGGTCGTAGACCTCGAATAATGCATCGTCTCATACGTGCATCCGAAATTTTTTCGTCTGGATTAAGACTATTAATTTCAGAGCACAAATTTTTTATCTTCATAAAATATTGTGAAACGGATGATTCCCCCCTGCTTGGCATTCGCCAATTCCGTCTCCAAGTATTGCAGGCAAGCCTCATTTTTCTTATAGAATAATCTTTCTAATGTCGTCCAAATCTCACTAGCAGAGTTGCACTTTTCTATATGCTCAAACAAGACCGGAGATACTGACCTTTTAGGAGCAAACTCCGCCTTGGTGTTCTGATCATCCATTCTTTCACTTCTCCACCACTTGCAGCATCTTTCGTCGGAGCAATGGTATTATTACCTCCGACAATCTCCCATAAGTCTTCACATCTAAGATAAGATTGCATGCAAGACTTCCAACTCCTGTAATTGGATTGAGTCAATACTTCCATACCCAATCCAACTACGCGACCCAAAGACTCCATACTTCGAGTGACCCGAGTTCTCTAACCTCGATCTAGATTAGAGAGGCTCTGATACCATGTAAGAGGAGACCAAGAATATCCTCTCGCAGTGCTTAGCACTGGCCCTAGATCGAACAACCTGAAGAAGAACTCGAAAAATTAAGAAAACTCTAAGAAAAAATTTGGAATGACACTTAGAAGAGAGACTTATACTTAAGACTATTTTTATTTATTTGATTTTGTTTGAATACACAAATGAGGGGGAGGGGGTATTTATAGCCCCATGGTTACAACTATTCATATAAAAATATACATTAAAATATTTATAATCTAGAGATTTCTATATAATTTTTATTATAATTATCTAGATTTTTCTATAGAAAAATATAGATATTATTCTTATATAAACTGACAGTTTTCTGAGATTTTTCTCCCTTGGATGAATGCTGATTGGTTCGGCAGGATAATTTCAAGAAGAAACGGTCGCAGTCGATTTGCTAGCAACTTAGCTAGTAGCTTATACAGTGTGTTACAACACAAGATGAGCCTAAATTCACAGAGTCGGTTTGCACCGGGTCTTTTCGGTATGATAACCAATGCAGTGGCGTTGATTACCCTCGGTAGGATCTAGTTTGGATGACCTGATGTATAGCTATCATTAGTTCTGGTCCGATAATATCCTATTAGGGAGAAGAATTTCTCAGCGAAAGTGGCAGAGACGAAGGTTGAAGATGAAGTCCGGTTATTGTTGAATTTCATTTTTTGGTTTAGACTTGGTTCGATTTTCCGGTTTTGTATTTTAGTTGTAGTTTTACCATTTTGCCCTTTATTTTGAAATTTTGTTTTTGGGCGCTCGATTGTTTCGAGTATAAGAACCAGGTTGTTTTCATTTTGGAAAAATTAAGAGAGAAAATTTCCACAGATTCTGTTTTCCGATTTCAAATTCTGAAATGGTATCAGAGCAAGAAAACTTCCGCTTGTAATTCCTTTGTTTTCTCTTCAATGGCGGATGATCAGGATGCTCAAAGTCATGTTCGTTCGTTTCCTTCAGCTCAAAATTCTGAATCTCAAATTTCATCTCGAAATCCATACTCCTGTCCGTATTTTCTTCATGCTGCTGATACATCGAGCTTACAATTAGTTCCTCAGAAGCTCACTGGTGAATTGAACTATGGTACCTGGTCTCGAGCTATCAGGAAATCACTGAATATTAAGAACAAGTATGGCTTCGTCACTGGTAAAATTTCTAAACCTTCTCCGGATCATCCTGACTATGAAGATTGGTGGCGTTGCAATGATGCAGTTTGTACGTGGTTACATAATTCTGTTAGCATGGATATTCACATTTCTATTGTGTATCTTGATGAGGCGCACCAGATTTGGAAAAATCTGGAAACTAGATTCAAACAGCAGAATGTTTCAAAAATATTCAGTATTCAACAGCAACTTGATCTTCTCCATCAAGGATCTATGACCTTAGACGCTTATTATAATAAGTTGTCATCATTATGGGAAGAATTGAGGAATTATGAACCATTTCCAGCTTGCAATTGCGGTGGTTGTACATGTGGTGGTTGGAGATGTGGTTTAGCTGAAAAATGGTTAGAAATGTCTGAGAGAGGAAATGTTGTGCGCTTCTTGATGAGATTGAATGATTCATATGCAGCAGCAAGACGTCAGATCTTAATGATTGAACCATTACCAGATCTCACTAAAGTGTTTAATCTTGTTTCTCAGGAAGAGAAACAGAGAATTTCTCTCGGTATAGCTTCTGACCAGGTTGTTTTCAATACCAGTACTCAAATACCAAGACCTCGAGCCCCTTTTTCTTCAAATTCTCCTCGTCCTCCTTTTAATCCTAACCAAAACACATATCGAGCCACATACTCAGATCGACCTAGACCTATTTGTACACATTGTGGTATGCAAGGACACACTGTCCAAAAATGCTATCATATACATGGTTTTCCTCCTGGTTATCGTGCACCTAATCCAAATAGACCCATTCCTTTTTCACCCAGACAAAATTACCAAAATCCTAGACCCTTGGCCTTTGATAAACCTCCAAACCTTGTTAATATGGTGGGATCTGCTGAGAATGCCAGCAAATTGAATCAATCTCATACTGATGTGAATAGGATGTCTATGAAGAATCCTTTGGAACAAGTTCAAGAGATTTCAAATCCATATGGTAATCAGTTTAAGGAACAGAGTACACCATACAGTGATCAGACTTTTACAGCTCCATCATCATACATATCTCCAGGTATTTTTTTCTTTTTCTCATCATATTCTTTCCTCATTGGAACCAAGCCTTAAATTTGCAAAAGCAATGTGGATTCTGGATTCTGGAGCTAGCTGTCATGTTTGTTGTGATTCATCCTTGTTTTCAGAATTACATTTGATTTCCTCTATTTCCATCACATTACCAAATGGGTCTCATATTCTCGTGTCTCAGGCTGGTACAGTTCCATTATTTTCCAAATTATGCCTGACTTCAGTTCTCTTTGTGCCCTCATTCAGCTTTAATCTCCTAAGTATTAGTGCTCTTACATGTGATAGTCCTTTTTCTGTAAACTTTACTCGAGATTCTTGTTCTATTCAGGACCATACTCAGGCATTGATGATTGGCAAGGGTAGGCAGCTGCATAATCTCTATATCCTGGAGATGCAACAGTCTTCACTTGCTCAGTCTGATGTTCTTATTCCTTCACATTCTGCTCTCACCATCTCTTCCATTACTCGAGATTCTTGTTCTATTCAGGACCATACTCAGGCATTGATGATTGGCAAGGGTAGGCAGCTGCATAATCTCTATATCCTGGAGATGCAACAGTCTTCACTTGCTCAGTCTGATGTTCTTATTCCTTCACATTCTGCTCTCACCATCTCTTCCATTGATCTTTGGCATCATCGCTTAGGACATCCATCAAATTTAAGGATTCAGAGTTTAGGCAACACTGTTCAGCTCACTTTTATACAAAATAAGGAGTCAATTTCTCACTGTTCTGTTTGTCCACTTGCAAAACAGAAAAATTTGTCATTTCCCTTTCAAAACAATATGTCTTTGAATGCTTTTGATCTATTACACCTTGATATATGGGGTCCATTTCGGGTACATACAGTTGAAGGTTTTCAATATTTTTTGACAATTGTTGATGATTGCACAAGGCTCACTTGGGTTTATCTGTTGAAAAATCAGAATGAAGTTACTTCAAAATTTCCTGAGTTTGTTCATTTCATTGAAAATCAGTTTCAAACACACATCAAAGCAATTAGAACTGATAATGCATCAGAACTCAGGTTTTCTGATTTTCTTAGCAAGAGAGGAATTTTTTGATGGGTCGCACGGGAAACTCGAGCACCGGTTCACAACCGGTCTCGGGTCTGGTCCACGGGCTTGCGCAGCGGAATTGGCGTTCAAAACGATTTTGAACCGCCCACGGACCATGGTTTCGATGAAGAACTTTCTTGAGAGAAAAGCTAACCTCCGAATCTGAAGGTTGGTTGAAGATCACAGCTAGGTGTTGAAGCAGCCAACACCCTCTTGAGCAGTCCACACCCTTGGGATGGTTTCCAACACTTGGAAACTTGCTTGCTAGAGCTTGAAGAGATCAAATCTCTTGTGTATGATCTCAAGAACACCTTCTTGAGCTTTGGAGAGTTTCAGAGCAATCTTAGCTCTTCTGGAGGTCAAGAGACGGGTTAATAATGATCCAAATCATTTCCCACCCGTTCCCACCAAGAAAAGCCGTGATTTTCGCAATTTGGTGTTTTCAGACGTCCGGTCCGCCGGACCAGACGAGTAAAAATACGCGGAATTGTTCGGTCATGGTCTTGGTCCGGAGCTGACCAACTCTTGGTCAGCCGGACCAAGACGCTTTTGCCGACAGTCGAAATTTTCCGCGATCTGGCGGACCAGAATCTTGGTCCGCCGGACCAGCCGAGCTCCAGACCAAGAGATTCAGTCCGCCTGACTTGCCGGTCCGGCAGACCAAGATTTCGGTCCGCCGGACCAGCCGAACTCCGACCCAACTCGTTCCCGCTCCGTCTAACTGATCTGGTCCGGCTCACCAATTTTGGTCAGCTCCGGACCAGACAGTGTTTTCGGACAAATCTCCCAAGTGTGTCTGGTTCGGCTGACCAACTCTTGGTCAGCTCCGGACCAGACCTCAAAGACCAAGAAAAATCTGATTTTTCTCGTCCGTTTGATCCCGTCCATACACGTCCATCCCGTATGTGTGTGACCCTTTAGGCTCCTCCGAATACGGCAGTAAACGCGAGATCCAATCTCGCTTTACGAATCATAAGCGGTCTCTAGCAAGACATTATGATTACCCGTATCGGAAAGAGTTAGATGTGATCTAACCGAAAAGCCAGAGATAGCTCAAACGATGATCCTCTTTGTCTCACGATATCATAATCGAACTCATAGTTCGAATGCTTTGTCGTATCCCGAGTAGACTGTAAGAGATAGATGACATTCATCTATAGTGTGGCCACACATTTCCACAGTCTCACTCCTACGACGGGCCCAAGCGATATCTCTCTCTTTCGAGAGGGACAAAGTTCCATCTTGACTATCTACTATCCATTACATGATTCATAATGTACCCGAGCCCCGTCTTTATAGTCGTCCGGTTAAAGACGACGTTTGACGCAGTCAAAGTACATTACTCGTCATGATGGATACAATAGATATCTCAGGTCTGAGGATCTAAAGTGAACCATCAAGTGAGATTCAAGTCATGGATTATATCCAATCGACAATCTCACGCGAGTCATCCAGTTACTTGTTCCAAACAAGCACTCATGACTGTGATCCGTATCCAATGCACATGATCATCATCATGATCATCCATCATGCCTCATGTTAGTCTTAATTCATCATTGTTCTCACAATGACAAGCGACTAAGGAATTTAGGATCGTACATCACGATCCATGGATTTACCATGATCATCCATCACGTCTCATGTTAGTCTTAATTCATCATTGTTCCCACAATGACAAACGACTAAGGAATTTAGGATCGTTCGTAACGATCCAGGGATTATCATTATTTATCAAATATGCAAAATAAATAATAAATAAATAATGTATTCATCCAATAAATACATCGTATCATACATGGTTCTCATATCGTATGATCATCCCAGAGCATCATATCCATCAGTCTCCTACTTGCTCTAAGTATGATCTACAATGCATCTAAGTCCCATTCCTCGAACATGACCCTCATGCTTTGACGAAGGGAGAGGCTTCGTCAAGGGATCAGCTATGTTGTCATCCGTCGATATCTTGCATATGTGTACATCGCCTCTGTCTACGATTTCCCTTATGAGGTGAAACCGTCTGAGTATGTGTTTGGATCGTTGGTGTGACCTAGGTTCCTTAGCTTGTGCTATCGCCCCATTGTTATCACAGTATAACGCAATGGGGTTCACAACGCTAGGAACGACGCCCAGGTCACCCAAAAACTTCCTGATCCAAACAGATTCCTTCGCAGCATCCGATGCGGCAATGTACTCAGCCTCTGTAGTAGAATCTGCTATGGTGGCCTGTTTGGAACTCTTCCAACTAACATCGCCTCCATTTAAGCAGAAGACATAGCCTGATTGCGATCTGTAGTCATCTTGGTCCGATTGGAAACTAGCATCGGTGTAACCCTTTACTGCGAGCTCGTCTTCCAACCCACCATATATCAAGAATAAATCCTTAGTTCTTCTCAAGTACTTAAGGATATTCTTGACCGCGATCCAGTGTGACTCTCCTGGATCCGACTGGTATCTGCTCATAATGCTTAACGCGTACGACACATCCGGCCTAGTACATAACATGGCATACATGATAGATCCTATTGCCGAGGCATATGGGATCCTATCCATACGTTCTCGCTCATCACGTGTCTTAGGACACTGAGTCTTGCTGAGAACAACACCATGACACATCGGCAAGAGTCCTCTTTTCGACTCTTGCATTCTGAACCGATTCAGAACTTTATCGATGTATGTACTCTGACTTAGGGTAAGAAGCCTTCGAGATCTATCTCTATAGATCTTGATGCCTAGAACATAGGCAACTTCCCCTAAGTCCTTCATAGAAAACTGTGTTCCTAGCCAAGACTTAACGTCTTGCAAGGTAGGAACATCATTTCCTATGAGCAGGATATCATCCACGTATAGCACCAGGAAAACAACTGTGCTCCCACTGGCCTTCTTGTAAACACATGGCTCATCTTCGTTTTGAGAGAAACCAAATTGTTTGATTGTCTCATCAAATCGAAGATTCCAACTTCTTGAAGCCTGCTTCAGTCCATAAATGGACCTCTGAAGCTTGCACACCTTCCCCGGACTCTCTGGATCGACAAAACCCTCGGGTTGTATCATATACACATCCTCGAGTAGGTTCCCGTTAAAGAACGCGGTCTTGACATCTATCTGCCATATCTCATAGTCATAATATGCAGCTATGGCAAGAAGAATCCTAATGGATTTAAGCATCACGACGGGCGAGAAGGTTTCATCATAGTCAATACCATGAATTTGCCGAAACCCTTTCGCCACCAATCGTGCCTTATAGGTATGCACGTTGCCATCCATGTCGGTTTTCATCTTGAAAACCCACTTACATCCTATGGGTTTTACCCCTTCGGATGCGTCGACCAAAGTCCATACTTTGTTGTCGTACATGGATTGCATCTCAGACTTCATAGCCTCGTGCCATTTCTCAGAGTCGGAACTCGCCATAGCCTCTGGATATGATGTAGGCTCGTCATGTTCCAATAACATGAGTTCATCATTACCAGTCACGAGAAATCCAAATCTCGTAGGCTCTAGGCGAACTCTCCCAGATCTCCGAGGCTCACAAGTATCAGGCGGAGTCTCAAGTCCCTGTGATGCAGGTTGAACATCTTCAACCTGCTCACTCGGTCCAGCATCTGTCTGTAGTTCTCGAATTTCTTCGAGATCAACTCTACTCCCACTAATTCCCTTAGAGACGAACTCTCTCTCCAGGAATTTCCCGTTCCGAGCAATAAACACTTTATTCTCGTCCGGGTTGTAGAAGTAGTACCCTTTAGTTTCCTTAGGGTATCCTACAAACAAACACTTGTCTGATTTGGCGGATAGCTTATCAGAAGCCTGACGTTTCACGTAAACGTCACATCCCCAAATCTTCAAGAAAGACAAACTGGGACGTTTCCCAGTCCATATCTCATATGGTGTCTTCTGAACCGATTTTGTCGGACTCCTGTTCAGTATGAAAGCAGCAGTCTCTAAGGCGTAACCCCAGAAAGATTTTGGAAGATCGGCCTGACTCATCATAGACCGTACCATATCTAATAGGGTGCGGTTCCTCCGTTCAGACACGCCATTCCACTGTGGCGTTCCAGGAGGGGTCAACTGTGAAACAATTCCACAGTCCACCAGATAGTCAGTGAACTCTTGGCTCATATATTCGCCACCACGATCTGATCGTAATGACTTAATAGTCTTGCCAAGCTGGTTTTGTACTTCGTTTCTGAAAGCCTTGAACATTTCAAGAGTTTCAGATTTATGTCTCATCAGATAGACATAACCAAATCTACTGAAATCATCAGTAAATGTGACGAAAGCCAAATAACCTCCTCTAGCGGGTAAGCTCATGGGCCCACATACATCGCTATGTATCAGGTCCAACAGCTCTAACGCCCGTTCTCCTTTTCCACTAAAAGGACACTTTGTCATTTTACCCATCAGACAAGATTCGCATGCTTCAATCGATTCATAATCGAAAGAATCCAAAAATCCTTCGGAGAGGAGTTTCTGTATGCGTTTCTCATTGATGTGGCCCAAACGACAATGCCAGAGATAGGTCGGGTTTAAGTTGTTCGGCTTAAACCTTTTCGCATTTACGTTATATACGGACATGGAATCAGAAGGTTGATCGTTCAAGACATACAATCCATTCACAAGGTAACCATTACCATAATAGACATCGTCTTTGAACATCATCAGGTTCTTATTCTCAATAACAAACCGAAA